AACAGTAAATTTTGATCTAGTATCAGGGATTAGTAAGCATACTCTGACACGTGCATCTATGTGTCAATTATACCATCTGAAAGCATTCTGCATTTGTGCTTGACCGATTCAACTCGCTTAAACAACATGGTTGAATTTTGTGTAAGATTTAAGAAAATACAAACTCTTGTAAAACTCATATAAATATACCAAGTGAATTACATGTACTAGAAAACAAGTACTGCCTTGGAAGTTATTGAAGAGTGGGCATATGTACGTTTTAAACCCATACGTCATGGCGGATATTGAAGATAATAGCCCCCAAGTGAATACCCGTAAGATATCCTTTAAAAAGAATCAATAATATAAAAAAAAGTATTGTGTCGAAGGTGACAAAATTATACTCGTTTGTCAAATTTATCTACACTGTTCGCCAGGTGAACTTGCTACATGACATTAGCCTTTAAGACAACCAGGTCCATTACCCATGATAGGAAGAATATAAAGTAGGACGCAGCAAAGATCGTATTTCCCAATGTTAGGATAGTTTGGCTTCTAACATAAGAACGATTACATCGTACCCGAGAAACACAGAAGATGAGACCATCAACATATCAAAGAAAACCGGTAAATGTATTTTCTGCGTGTGAATAGTAATTACGATCTAATCACTTCGGCATTACACATGAATAAATTTTAGATAAATACTCGAATACGCTCTTCGTAGCCTTACACTTTTCTAATGTCTAATGATTTAGAATAGTCGATTTTAAAATTGAACAATGACGAATAACGTATACAAGTTACCGGTATACTCATTTATTCCCAATCTAATTTCAATATCCTTTCGTTTTATTTTTGATGTACGCCATTATGACAATGTAGTGTGCAAATACAAATATTAAATGAAACGAAACTAGTTTTAATGAGATTAAGACCAATACGGCAGTAGTATTCGTAACATGTTAGACTATACTTTTTGGACCCGGAACTGCGCCCCTAGTGCTAGTCATCTTGTTCTTCTTGGGTGGTCCTCTTCGGTCAATTCCAGTACGATCGACATGAAACTTGACATGCTTGCTACTTCGGCAATTGCGCATCGATGGACAGACCTCGATTTTTGATGAGATTTCCAAGATGGCTGTGATGACGCGATACTCGGTTCCTGATCAACAGTTACTGTACACTCGTAATTGCTAAATATACATTATGCAAGGGCTGAATCTGCCAATTGCAGGTCTTTCTTCAGGCCTGAAATGTTATCTAAATTATTAATTAGACATTAATTAAGTTATCCAGACCATAATCAACTCTCAATGGCATCGCTAGCCTGTGATATTTACTGGATTAGAACCCGGTAAAATGGATAATCGAGACTATGTTTTTTATCATACCGAATTCAGTAAGGATGATCGAAGCTTTGACCAAAATTCATCGCTAAATACTCGGTTCAGGGTGGATCAATTTGACTGCAATTTTCAGCAAGTTCCCTTTACACCATCTAGTCTTTTTTAACTATTGTAGTGAGAACTACCAACTCTTTGTCTGATCTCCCATAATGTATCTTTAATCCTGACTAATACGTAAGTCACAAGCAACAATGGTGATAGCATAGTCCTTTATTTATATGTTTGACTATCTGATTGGCTGTAACTTTCAACAGTCCACGCATAACCTGTTAATACCGACCATCACACACAGAAATACTATCCCAAAGCTTAATTGTTTTCATAAAATATTGAATGAGTATAACCCTGTACGAAATCGATTAATTCACTGACGACTAATGGAACATCAAATAATATGTACCTTTGCTCTGGTGATTGAAAGGTCGGAGGGGAGGGGTGGGGGATCGAACGCGTGCGCTTTAAACGAGTCACTTGGTGTGATTTTCATCCGAGCCTGTGCATTACAAGGAGTAGGGTCGCCTGCCCAACCTCTTATGTATTCTCCGGGTCCACCGGTTTCCCCCCCCCACTGTGGCGATTGCAAGTTAGCTTTAGAGACCAGTATCTCAATATGGAATTTTGATCCGTTGCCTAAGGATATTCCGCCACGCGCATGACACTCAATCCAACCCGGTGTATAAACCCGCAGGATTAAATAGTTATTACCTCATGGAGCGGATGTATATTAATAATTCCATGTTACTATATAAGATACGGATAGGTATGTTAACTGATACTTGTAATGAACCAACAGAACAATGCTCTTAAGTCAGAACAAAATGAAATCATGTTAAAACAGGCTTTACATTAGGATATTAAAGGGGTGAAGTATTATAGAGGAAATTAACTTATCAACACGATCATTCTGCTAATTAACACGATAACATAGATGATTGATAGGCGAATATTATCTTAGTGATAATGGAATGGGGTTCAGTATTCTCTTATTTATTGAAATCATTTGTTTTGTTGGAAGATTGCACTGAAGATTCGTACTGTAGCCTCTCGTCGTCACCACTTGCTCCTGACCACTTGTTTTGTATTTGAATGTATCCCACCGTTCTATACAGGGGTTGGTGGTCGATCTCAAGCTTTCGCTTGCCCAACGTGGTTTGTGTCGAATGGACGTTATATCTCAATTCAATTTGAATTTCTTTAGAACATTATAAACAAGTGGTATTCATCTCGAGGTTCTGCTTAATATATTCTTCGTTATTCACTTTGAAATAAGAGTTCGGTACCACAATTGTACGTATCGTAGGTGTTCTTGCCCCACCTCCACAACACACAGACTCACTGCTAAAGACCTCTGCATGCAAGCGAATAATTGAAATACAGATACACCGGAACTGTGTTAGTCTCCAAACACTTAGTTTTTGTATTTGGACGTTTAAGCCATATCTTCAATTGTATGCATCCCGCTTATAACGTTTCATTAATATCAACAGACTGGGTGGGGTCCTACAATTACCAACGAGAACAGACAAGAGCGTTTTTTTTCTGTCAATATAGCCCAGTGTATTGCAAAGAGTGACCGACAAGGAAAGATGTTATATATAATATGCATATTCTTCACATCATATTTCTCCACCAACAACGGGATCAAACCCGGGCCTGCTGATTAGTGCCCATAAATTGATGGGCTGTACCACTGCCATTTACAGTGTGTAGATCAATAAACTTTCATGGAACTTCCTGTTCCATAACACCCTATCGTAAAAAGTGTGTCTGAACAAAATAATGTTAACAATTGGGAATCAGTGAGATATTTGTACTAGACGGTGGTATAGAAAACAAGTTAGTTTAATTAGTGACGATAAAGATAAGCACACAGTGATAAATAATGCGTCTTTTCGTCTTTGATTGTTATCAATGAAATACCTAAAAATAAAGAGTAATTTAAAAATAAACGTGTTGAAGACGTACTCGTAAAAAACAAAATGCTAATTAAAAAGATTAATTACCACCTTCCAGGATGTACCAGCGACAGGAAATGAAAAATGAAATGAAATGGGGTTTAACGTCCTACTGCTCTGCTCCAACTGGGCTAATGAAGACGGGCTTACGCCATACAGTGTGCTATGGGGGAATATTTTGCCAAGGACAGCGGCGCTATGGCCTACTCTTATATCGAATTCCAACTGTCAAGGGATCTTTTATGTGCACGCTGGATCTCGGTTTTTCGTCCCAACTGAACGACTAAACAACTATCCTTGTCTGGCTCCCATCCTGTACTATTGACAAGGAGAAACCACACCGGAAAATCCCCGGCCAACACCGGGATCGAACCCGCTACCCCCAGGCTAACGAGCCAACGTCTTATCCATTTAGCCAACCAGTGAAAGGCCGATACCAGTTTTATTCGATAGTAATGTAGGTAATGAGCGTAAAATCGAATTACTATTAAAATCCAGTTCCGGTTTAACAATGAGGTTTTACATGATTACTGTCCAGTTTCCGGTCCAAATATCAAGCACAATCGGTCCTAACCAGTGGTCAAATGTAATTCATCTTCTACAATATTGTTGTTTACTTTCTTCTTGGGAGCGGCGCTCTTCCAAAAAAGCCGATGTCAGAATTCCAAGATGCTCGGTTCCATAGTACGTTCGTACTTATTTAATTTTTCAGTACAGTTTAAAGTGGGATTGAGTTTACCATTTGAAAATGAGTGATATATTTCACATCTCCTCCCGACATTATATTCTTACTGCACTGCAGTCTGTGAACAAGCTTCAATTCTAACATATTAATTCAGTGTAAAATTGACCAATCTATTTAGGCAACTGTTCCATTTCCGGATCTACATATATACGAAAGCGGTCGAGGTGTTCACCGAGTGCTTAATAATTTGAGATTTTTAATATTTTAATGGCAACTTCATGTCAAAATATTAAGCATTCGGTGTATTTAAAGAAACAGTTACACATTTATAATCTTCAACTGTCAAGATGTACAAGTGACGTTAGCTACCACTACAACCAGGAAGTCATTATCTCGATTTGATACTGAAATCGGAAAATCCAATTATTTTGAATCATTTCATTTTAATTTGCAATTTACAACTCTCTGCATATCAAGAAACTACTTCTTGAAGTCAATATCGAGAGAAAAATAAAAGTATCGAGAGAGCGAATAGGTCATTTCGAGACTAACATATGATGCAAAATTGCGTGTGGGAGGAAACAGGAGAAGAGCTAGAGGAAAACCTACGAGGCTGGGCAGGCGACCATACTGCTTGCCATGTATAAACTTGGGATCGAAACCATGGCACTTGACTCAATGACATACCTTATGACCTAAAGCGCAAGCGTTAGCCCACTAGACTACCGTTGTTTAGATGATAGTACAATTGTTGATGATGACAATAATCGTCCTTTTTGTTTTTCATTTGAAAGACATTCTTGATTGCTGCCCTTTAGATACACTAAAGCATCACGAATCCCCCAGTGTGGATCTTAACTCGAATGTGAGATATTTAATGACAAGTACTTGGACACGATGATAGTGGATAAGTATTAACGAGGAATAGCGGTGTTAGGGAAATGAAACGTGAAGAAGCCATTAAAAAAAGAATTATTCAGTTTTTACTATGATAATTTTTATTTATTGCATTATAATAGGGATTCATAATAACTAATAATAATGTACTTGGACCACAAAAACCGTTTGGTATGTAGGTCATTACGTCATCAATAAATGCAGGCTGATATCTGTTTTACCTTAACAAGAAGGTCAAAGGTACAAGATTAGTATTAATATGCAAAAAGGTTTTAAAAAAAAACCATTAAAATATTTATCTAAGAGGTACTATTACTATAAATGCAATTATTTAGTAACTGGATAAGTGGGATAACTGCGTCTATTGAAGTCTACATTTTATTCGTGTAAATAGGTCGAATATTGACCTAAAACCATGTCGGAAAAGATTCTAAAAGCGTAATTTACAAGCGATGCTAAAAGGTCAGATATTGATGATCACGTGATATCTTAGTTTTTAATATCTTTAGAGATTTCAGCTGTCAATTATTTCATGTGGTATATATACTTTACATATGTATATAGATTACAATACCATATATTTTCAAATTATATAAACCTGTAGGGTATTGTTTAAATGAAATGGTCAGAAGCAATGGCTACGTAAAATACGATATACACATCCATAATATGACCATTGCATAGTCGAGGTGATATAACAATAGATACGGGTATATAATATAGTTCACAGTATAATACAGAAAAGTTGGGACGGACAAAATCTCTCCAGAAACTATTATTACTATTATTATTACTGCACTAAAGTTACCAATAATCTGATCTTTAAGAAATAAACACTAATACTGCAGTGGAATAAAATACCAAGAATGAAACAAAAACAAATAAAATTGCATAAGTCACTGTTTATGAATAAATTAATGCTTTTTATATACTGACTGGCAAGTCCGTAAACTTCGGGAAGTTTTCTCTTTTCAGTAAATCCACAAGAGGTTGGTTGATAGTTTGAAATAAAGAAATATACCGCCCTTCGTCGTATTAAAAGCCACTTATATACACTCTTATTTTGTCTATATTCTCATTGTTTATATTCTCATTCACATTGTTTTTATATATATTCTCATTTGTTATTCGTATTCACATTGTTATAAGATGTTCACACTGTCGATATAGTTCCGTCTATTTTGACGGTGATACAGTTAGTCAACCCCTTTGAATCTTTTTCCTACAATATGAACATGGCACTATTTTGCTAATTTCCCGCGCTTTTCTGGCAACTGCTCCAGTAAGTACTAATGCTGGTCCCAGTTTCATTCCAAGAGATTTTGTCAAACTGTCTGTTGTTAATAGAGGCAGACTGCTTCCATCTACTCCTGCTCGACGGAATGTCTGAAAATAGAAAAGTACACAAGCAATTAAGACTAAGGCTAATATGTTCCTTAATTTTGCTACGGTATGCAGACAATCTTTAAATATTTGAAATCCAACAGCCATAATGTAAGTATGCACATTTTTATTGAAGAAGTATTTTATCAAGGAATTGATTTAAAAAAAAAATGCTTAGACACGGCAGCTGACAAGATTTCATTTTATTTACTTACTTCAATATATGGTCCACATCCATCTAATTTTCTCATAAACCGACAAACATCTTCAGTACTCCAGCGCCGAATATCATCTATATGTTTAAATTCACAAGTACATTCCATAGAGGATTTCTTACGTTCATAATCCGACCAAGTACTGATCCCAAAACCGTTTAATTTATGTCCTTGTCTCTCGTGGCGCCCATCGTTTTCTGAATCGTCCATACCATCCAATGCCTGGTCGATACTCTCCTCGAGGCGCTGTTTCAATGATTGCTGCCCAGCCAAACTAGACACAGCGGCGAAACTAGTCGGTATCGAGGAACTTGTTTCACAGTTCAGCTGGGGGCCATTGGATAAAAAAGGCGACGAACTACTTTCTGTGGTTGGAGATCCAGAGCTGTGATTGGGACTAGGTACCACATTAGGTAACGAGTGCATCATAGCCGGCGAATGAATACTTGTAACACAATTATCACTTCCAGAATCGCGGTAAAACATTTTTTCACTATGCATTAGTTTTTGTCTTTTAGAACTTAAGTCAACCACCGATTCTTCCGCTGGGCGTTTTAATGTAGGGCTGGCCATCATACCGCCATTTAAGTTGTGAAAGAATTGTGTAAATCGCGTGGTTTCTAATCCTGGGGGAGGCATAGTGAAGGGGAAACATGACTGCCACATTTGGAGAGAGGGAAGGGGGATCTGTAGTGGAGATATATTAGCCATGACGTCAGCTGGATAAGGATACCCTACAGATAATCCTGGAGTGGGTAAGAAAGATGGCTGACCGGCATGTTTGGAATTCTGATGTGCTGGTGGTGGGTTGGCTGGTAACCTGAAAATAATATGGGAACTTACAAATATTTGGTTATAGTTTTGGTAAATATTAAAATTTGTATAAATTTATGGAACGGTTTTCCATCCACATGGATAAATTATGAAATTTATTTCAAATAACATCTAGTGACTATAATATTCCCATTTTTAATTAGTTAACACTGAAGTCATCATATCTTTCTCTCATTGCCTACAACATACTGACATCTTCACACCAAGATTTCAGGTTTAAGAAAATTGTCATTTTAAACCAATCCCAAACAGATGCTGGGCCGACATAATCGATATATGATAAAACCTTCCAAACCAGTCAAGAAAACTGAATTTACATAAGTATTATAAAAATCATTAAGTATAAAGAACTTCTCAAATGTATCACATATATATTCAGGAGGTGCTAAAGAAAGGGCAAGAAATACTGTCTAGTGCTCACAACCAGCCATTAATCATTGCTTAATTGGACTAATAGAATAAAAAATTAAACTTGCTGTCAGAAATAACACACTATTTATGGAATAACAAGATTTCACAAGTCGTTATCAAGCATATATACACAATTAGAACGACTTCTGAAATCTTGTTAAACCGTCACAGTAATAAAGCATCTGTCATCTATAAATAGTGTGTTTTTTTTTTTATTATGTCCTAATTACTAAATGTCATTCAAAGAATAAACTTACTGTCGTTTATCGGCTCTAATACTAGGGTCGCCGTATCTCTGTGGTTGTCTTTCTGGACTTCTATCTCTATAATATTCCTTGTTAGACTTGCCGGCAATTGGACTAACGAAGTCGTGCTTCTTGAGTTTCGCCTGGAGTCGTTCCAATTTCTGCATACGTTTGGCTCTTTTAATGGCGTATTTCACCGTTTTATCTATTACCTCCGGTGGCTTGTTACTTATCTTTGCCAATTTCTCTGTTAATTTGGCCATTACGGCAGCTTTTTCAGCAGAATAATTAGGTGATGTTGAAGATGATGGTGCTGAACCTCTGGAACTAGTTGAACCCACGGGGCTAGATGTAAAACGTGGTTGTGGAGTACTGGCCGCGGTAGGAGAGGTGGTTTGCTGCTTATTGTACTCCTCCTTTGTCATTGTCGCTGCTGGCGCTTTGACAGTAGTGGATGGCGGCTTAGATTTGGCCGTTAAATCTGGAAACGGCTTCTGTGGAAATGACATCCCATTCATCCCGTAGGAGGTGGCGAGGTTTTGGGCGAAGAGATGCTGTAAACTAAGCCCAAGCATCGGGTACTGTGGATCAAACGGAACACCGAAGTATGGCGGCGGAACTATAGAAACAAAATAAAAATATCCAAATATAGAAAAACAATCTTCAGTGGCATATGGTTAACTTTCTCCCGTGAAAAAGAAAAGGTTGTGATATTAAGTTGCAATGTACAATCAATATAGTTTATTTCTTGTCAGGTGACAGGTGCTGGGGCTGTGTTTAAGACGCGGTATTGTGTCACGTGAATCAATACCTTATTTCTACCGCTTATTAAATACAGATGAATAGAAGCGCCACGCGAGCTATGTATTGAATTAGTTGAAAAGATAGCGATATTAAAGCGAGAGGAAGACAACTTAAGAATCACCATGTAAATGATGGGACACCTGAAATGAAGGCTATAAAGATCTAAATGACTCTTCCATACAATCAATAATAAATCATTCAGTTTGATATAAAAGAAGAGACATGGTTAGGATACACAATGCTTCAGAAATGAGAGAAACGGGATACAAAAAGATAACGTTTTTTATATTTCAAAACTTACCCATTGGCTGAGGAGGTAATGATGATGCGGTCATTGGTGTCGAATCAAAGTTAGGCCCCGTGCTGCCACTTCTTCTTATCTCGCCTGGCTCCAAGTCCTTGCCGTCTGCTTTCTCCTCTTTAGAATCATCAGACGCTCGACGCTCTTTAGAGTACTTCTCAACACTTGACGATGTTTCATCAAACGAGGGCATCAAAAGCCCCTCGCTCATTGTCACTGGTTTTGTCTCGGAAGGTGACAGTTTTTCTTTGGACGTTCTTAGATGGTTTATAATACTGGTGAGTCTTGATTCACGCTGATGTCTGTAGAACATAATAAAAGAATTAGCTAGTTACACACAAATACATCAAAAAAGCGTACAATAATGCAAACATAATTTGAACCAATCTTATCATGGCGATTGATAGCCCACCTGTGCACAGTGACAGGCTCATATAACATCAATATAAACCTGTATTTGTTCTTTCTCCAGCTACCTCAACTCGTTATGACTTCAGTCAACTTCTGGCCAGCCATTTTTACTATTGCCACACGTCTCTTGGGACAGTAGCTATAAGACGATACTCTGTCACATATAGACAATGTTTGTCATCGCCACTCAAACTGTTATTATCAATGTCAATAGGCCTAGATAGAGAGCATAATATCCCGTCTACTGTCATTAAATAAATAAAAGCATATGGGCAAATCCAATCTTGGCTATGTCAGTTCAGTCAAGTTGAATACACTTAGTGATAAATGGTTTTTGTATGCACAAATTAATTACTCTTTTGCTGTTTGATTTGTGTAGGGTATACGAATATAATATGTCAAAGCTGTTTAACTTGGCATTATGCAGGGGTCACAATTTTATCATTATCAGTTCTGTGTGCGTATAATTGAGAAATTGATTTTTCTTACGACCACTTGAGAAGATAGATAAGAAGCTATGTTACAATTGATGAGTTATATAACCAGATGATATAAATACCTTGGATCTATCGCTTGTCTTATTCAATATTGATAACAACTTATATTTACACAAACCCAATACAGCAGAAGGACAATAGATATATTGATATACAACAAGTGTCGGGTATATGGGTTTATTTTAGATTTAAGTTATTTAATATACCAAGTATACAAAGAACCTTCTATTATATATAAAGTCAACGAAAGGGAACGGAAATGCTTCTAATTTGAGAAAATGGGGTATGGGGGAATGATTTCAACTTAAGAAAACGGGGGAACGTTTTCAATTTTAGAAAATAAGGGCGAATGCTTCCATTGAGAAAATGTGAGTTGGGGGGGGGGGGGTCAATTTATGAAAACGGTGAGAAAATATTTCTAATTTGAGAAAAAAACTTTCGCTTATAATAAATGGATCCAATGCATGAAATAATATATTTTTTAACATCTACTTTTAGATAACTATAAATCACTTACCCGTTATTTTTCTCTGGTGATCGAAAATTTGGTTTTTCTTTAGGTGCTGAATTTTCAGGTTTATGATTTGCAGAATCGTCTACATCAATATGTTCATCATCGACATCATCGACCTCATCATTTTCTGTGGGTTGTTGATCACTTAAAGCATGTTCTGTATCACCTTGCTCTTGTTTGGTCTTCTCGGCATGTGAGATTTCATTCTCTTGCAATGAAGTTCTTAAAACAGACAGAGGGGTATCATCAGTTGAGTCTGATCTTCTATCATCCGAAGAATCGTCCGCGATATGCTTTAGCAGAACGGGGTCACTAACGTTTGGCAAAGTTTTTGAAAGTTCTTTAGTAGTATTATTGTTGTTAAAATTAGAAGCACTCCATTTAATCAAAGGTATATCGTCATTACTTTTAGCGTCTAATTTACCGTCAATAATAGTGTCAGAATCCTCATCCTCGTCGTCATCATCATCATCGTCATCACCATCTTCGTCATCATCGCAGTTTGATTTATCAAAAGCTATAGATGGGTACACTTGTCTGGGTGGATCAAATTTAGGAGATTTGCTAACTTTAGCCTGAGGAACATCACCAGATAAAGATTCGGCTTCACTTACGTAACCGTCCGGTGACTCCGACTCACCGGAGTCCGATTCCGCTTTAGAACCGTCCGATTGGTACTTAAATGGTTGCTTGTTGTCCGTTTTAATATCCGTTTCTATGGAATCTTCTGGACTATCTGTGAAAGGCTCATCACGATCTTCTTCAGAAGTGTTGAATTTGTGCTGCTTCTTGATGTCCTTTGGCCCTCTTTCTATTTTACGTGGCGGCTCACAGGCGGTCTGCAAGTAGAAAAATAAACATATATAATATTTTCAGATTGAATAAAGTTTCAAATTAAAAATATAAAAACTTTTTTACAGACCTGTTTGGCCCATTTGATAGTTTTACGTGAAATTTTCCAGGAATACATGAATAGCGATTGAATGCGTGCTGCGAATCCACCCCTATATATCTGTCTCAGCTTCTTAATTAGGTAATAAAATTAATTTGAGAAAGGACTACATGCAAGGATATGCTATTTTATATCTTTATCAATTAGTCGATCCAGAATTAAACAAAAACTCTTAAGACACTTTGCAACACTTAATAATTGACAGGAAACGTATAATTAGATGCCTTTGTATCATTATTTCACGGGGTAATTAGTCTAATATCTAATGAGCCATCACATTCACGACTTGTTCGCTCTTCCAAAAACTACTTACATCTTAAATTACATATATACGTACATACCCCAGTTAAAATACTTCTTACTTAATGCGATATATATATGTAATTGTTAAGCGATGGTACGGCTGTAAACAAAATCTAACTTGTTAAAAATGTGCAATAAGTGCATAGCAATGATATCAAGTGCGAACAACGTGGTACGAAAAATACTCCATTCCAGACCACGGGGGTACGTTGTTCCGATTTTTATCATAACCACTACAGTGCAAGACATGGTTATCCCTGAAGAGGTTGAGTGTACGAGTCTGAAAAGTGATATCTAAGTTATAATTTGGGTCACAAGTTGTCGTGTTTTGTGATTTAGTTTTAAAAAATCTCTCACACGACCTCTTCACATATGTTACACTTTCTGCGTGCTATTGACAAAATAATTACAAAGAGCAACACAAATTAGCTTCTTGAATATTGTCAAATCCTTTGTTTAGATAATGAAATGGAAGTGATACGTCTATCTAAACTTGGGTCCATAGATGCGGATAAAGACACCAGTGGGCATGTTGAACGTGATTTTTGTCCAGCCAAGCCATTTCACACCTCCTTCTAAGTTCACTCTACGTCACCTTGACGTCAATATTCCTACACACTAGCGTCTAGCAATTTGTCTTCTTCCTCACCGATAAAGTCATTCAATATCCATATAGAACAGAAGAGTCACTTCTTTTAAGTATCACCTATCAATATTTTAACAAACCAACCTTTATGTCCATCCATACGTTAAACATTACTGAACCGGTGAATGATTCCTAGAGCGGAGTCGTTAAGTAGTAATTGTGTAATGCGAGGTACCTGTGTGTATAATGTCACTTCATTGTCGCCCGACCGTATTACCTGCATAACATAAGGTAATTTAAACATAAACGGCTGGAATCGATACTTTATCGAATAACTAGCGTTACAGGCAGACAATAGTAACGCGATTTTTCACTTCTGCAAGCAGCTTTATGTATGAAGGAGAAATTAATTATAATTCGATATCTGTCTTCAAGATATGATTATTTGTCAATTGATAATGAGATATCAGTTTGAACGATAAAAAAAAAGTGCTAGTCGGTAGAGAGACACGCAGGCATATACAAATTAGAGTTGGGAGATCGTTGTGTTTTCAGTTTCTGGGTCGTGAGAGCGGTAGACAACGACGTTAAGAATTGACAGTCTATAGGGCGTTCTTTTCTATTCAATATAATCAAATTGACTGTAGTTGGAAACCGTCATATTGTGTGATAGATCACATCGGCTTTAGTCTCAATTAAAACTGTATTCATAATACGGGGGCTTACAATCGACTTATTGTGCTGAGATTAGGTGGCTAAGAGACGGCTATTTCACTTAAGGATTTAACCAGATTGCCGAGATATAAAATAGCAATAAAAGACGCATCCTGTTTATGTAAATTAGTATAAAAGGAGATAGATGGTTAGTTTAGCGGGAGGACACCTAGAAATTAATCCCCGAATCAATAAATATTTAATATATACATCTGTCACATATATCAATCGAACGGATGTACAAATCTTTTTTTAATGACGGACGGAAAGAAGACGTAGTTTGTGGTTGTCTGTGTATAGGGAATTATAATAATGTTTAAAAAGCACGTATACCAAATTTATTTCAACTAAAAAAATATACAACGCCAAGATAAATAAATTTGTATAAATTTTGGAACTGTTAAAACAATCTTCTAAAAGTTCAACCCGCACGATAGATATATCCCCAAATATCATCTAGTAGACAAAATAGCAAAGTGTCCCATCTTAGAGAAACCAGCAACATTTCTACGACAAATGTATTACACACATTTTAAAAAAATAGATTCGGTTGCGTATTGGTATTGGTCAGAATCTTCAAGGCCAATCCATGGAATATATAATAGCATCGACGAGTAAAGCGACTTTCATTACAGGGTTTAATTTAACGAAAATTTACAGGAAAGTTTTATGAGTTTTTAATTATAACATAAAACATAATGACAGAACAAGTGATCTAATCCATTTTTCCATGAAGATAAACTATAAAATATATATTAAGTAAGTCATGAGTAAAACCGAAAAAGTTGACTAATACTAGGAAATACAATATACGAGGCAAGCAAAGGGTTATCAGAGTGTTTTATCCATTACAAAAACAACCCCAGTCGAATAAAAGTTGGAAGAAATAACTAATCAATCGTTTTACTTTACAACGATTATCGCCCTTTATCACTTAATAGACTGAACACAAAAGTCACGTTCTCGCTTTAAATGTAATGACTATACCATGTCATTTGTCCTTCCTTTATGAAGGAAATAATTATAATAACTAAACTAATTAAAGGACGTGCTTATAATGTTTACACCACACAATAACTCTCTTTCTTATCTAAGAAACATTTTAAAATATCAGTTGACAAATGTATCCATGCATACAGCGACCGCTTGATCTTTAATTTAAAAAGGTCACCCGCGCACACAAAGGTATAGCCGGTTTTTATTTTCAAAAGCCCTTAATACATAATGTTGTAACATCTTTCGGATATTAATCTGTTAAGAATAGATCTTTGAGCGACCACTAAGACGCAATTAATGCTCTAGAATAAACAAGACACTAAAAGATGGGTCTTGAAATGGGAGTTCATTAGATAATGTTGTGGGTGTTACCAATAATTTGTCTTATCGGTTATTCCAATCTTGGAAATCCTAATTAGACTTTTTAAAAATATACATCATAAACATAGATGACGTCACAATCATTAATCCTGCTTTTTCGGGAAATTAATTAAAGATTATCCAGGACCTTCAAACATAATGTATTAGAAAATGGCCAAACGTAACATGCAGTTAAATGTTCTTCATGATGGATTGACTTTATTATTTTGTGGATGTCATCTTTCATTAATATGGACGATATACAGCTCTGGGTGACGTCAACGGCAATTTTATCCGGAAGAGCTTTGAAAACCGAAATAGAGAACAAAATTAAGATGCTTGAAATGTCAATATTGTATAAAGCGTCGATTGGATTAAATTTGAAGTGTTCATTTGTAGTGCGAGATGGATCATAATACATGTATAATTCCACATCTCCCATATAAACATACAGATTTTCTCTGTGAATAAAGGTTTTAATGCCACGGAACTAATTGTCTCATATAATATCAATATTAACAGATAACTGATTTTGCTTTCAAAATTAAACAAAACAAAATCCCGGAATTAAACTATGTAAACAGACAAATTTTCTCTGTGAATAAATGCTTAATATCACGGAACTACTTTTCCGGTTACTTATCGAAATACCACAGCATATTAACCTACATCAACACTTATTTTGTAGTAATTTAATAATAATAGAAGTAAAGATAGGCTGCCAGGCAACAGAACACACGCGCACAACTGCTAAGTAGTCCGACAGTCCATATAAGTTGTCGAATATATATGTTTTTGTAGGTAGAGGGAGTATACACAAAATCATCAAAAGTAATTGTCAAAAATGATTAAAATGTAATTCTCTTCTAGTTCTCTTCTAGCGCTAACACTTATTACATAAAACATATACCGATAATCAGATGATAACTTTAGCTGTTCGATTTATAGAAAATCATTGAAAATCTATTGTTTTTCCACTCATGAATATAATCATAGACAATATGAACAAATCAATAGGATGATAACCATAGCCTTTTAGAGGGTCCACAAGATTTTTCAAAGTGATCAAGGGCAATAAACAAGATCGTAAAACGTTGAATCCTCTAGAATGTCCACCAGCAGTCCGATAGGCAAACAGACAGTGGAGACGACAATATCGCCCCACATTGAAATTTACGACTACAAAAACCGAATGATGAATTTAGAACAATATATCATTTGCACATCTTAGGGTTAATTAAAGGATCTTAAAGTTTACTATCATAATGTTCATCATTATCACGTTCTGTCATTAATACTGTCATAGATCAAGTACTGATATCAACAAATATCTAGGCTTTAAAGATAAATACTGTCTTCTAATATACAAGATAAAGCACAATCATTAACTATCTCGGATTACAAGACTTCAATTAAAAGTGTGACACTTGATGCACCAAGATGCGTAGGAACGTGTTATATCTCTGATAAAAGTGACTCTCCCATAACCATGCTTGCAATAGTTCCAAAACACCTAGTAAAGATGGATGGCTTACAGAATTAATTTGTGAGAATAATAACTATTTCATTACTAAATTTCAACACCCATGTCCATGCGGACAATATTTATTACACAAATCTGTGTTTTATTTATTGCATATGTTACTATCCAAACCGTTTATTGCATAATAACAATAACATATTATGTTATTGTTATTTAAACTACTTAGCATGTTCCTACTGTTTATAAAATAAAGTATGTCAGCACATCAGTGTATGTATAATATATACGTATTTATACCAACATTGCCACGTAATGGTGTTTCCAGCATGGCGACACCCGTGAGAAAATTCACTGACATAAGATAACTAGCTCAACACGATACTATACCCATCGACAACCCTAACTCACACAACAACCACTTGTATCACGGCCAACGGTGACAAAT